AATCTGCTTTATCAAATTCCCATCTTCCAACATAAGACCCAATTTTTGATCTAAACACCATCTTTCAGCCAATTGATAATATAAGAACCAAGACTGAAGCACTTTCTCTTGTCTCAATTCATCCAATAGTTTAATTTGCCAGTCTTGACCCTTTAGAACCAATAAGTCTCTATAAGTAATTCCCTCTAATTTAACTCCCATAGTTACTCCTTGCATTGCATGTTCCGGAATTGCCCACATTGGTATCTTGAAATTTAATTTGTGATAATACTTTTTCCAAATTCTCAAAATCGCCACTCTTAAAATATGAGATTTAAAAATAGAATCAACTTTTTTATCAAAAAATAAATATGCATGCCATCCAAAATATAAGTCCCAACCTTCAAGAATCAATATATCTCTGTTAGTTAAATTAATCCAATCAGTAATCCATGTCAAAACCACCGCATCATAATACAATTTTAAATTTGGAGCCTTGAGTCCCCCTCTTTCACGTGCATCTTGCAAAATTTTAAATTTTACCCTCGGCTTTTTTCCTAACCATATAAAACTGTTAATCCCTCTTTGCCAAACTTCCAAATTAGAGTCTTTTTTTAAAATTGGTATCATCTGGAACAGAAAAAGAAATTTTGGAAGAACATTCATTTTAACCACAGAAATTCTCCCCATTAATGACAACTGCAACTTTTTCCACATTTCTAAATCCTTTTGGATTGTTGTCCACAACTTTTCATAATTATTTTTATACAATTTAACATTAGAGGCAGCAAGATAAATACCCAAATATTTCACCTTCTTCACAATTTCAAAACCAGTTAAATTAGTTAAAATCTCTTTATCCTTCATGACCATATTTTTAGACAATATTTTAGTCTTATTGACATTTACTCTAAATCCTGAAACTCTTCCATACTCATTCAGTAACTGTATCAAATTTCTTGTTGAATCAATCGGTTAGGATAATGTAAAAACCAAGTCATCAGCAAAAGCTCTAAGTTTATAGTCATTCTTACCCAGAGCTATTCCTCTTATAGTTGATGTTTCACGAACCTTAATTAATAAAATCTCCAAAGTCAAAATAAACAACAAAGGTGATAAAGGACATCCTTGTCTCGTGCCTTTTTCAATTTTGATTGCATCTGTCAAACCTCCATTCACAATAATTTGTGCTGATTGAGATTGATAAATAGCCTTCAACGCGGACAAAAATCTATCCCCAAAATTCATTTTATCAACCACACCAAACAAAAATCGCCAATCCAATTTATCAAAGGCCTTTTCAGCATCCAAAAAGATAAGAGCCGCCGGAATTTGATTGTTCTTGTCCAAATATTCCAATAAATTTACTATTTGTCTAACATTGTTTTTCATATATCTACCACTTATAAATCCAGATTGATCCATATGTATAATCTTTTGTAATACATGCATCAGTCTATTAGCCAAAATTTTTGCAAAAATCTTATAATCCGTATTCAATAAGGATATTGGTCTATAATTTTTAGGCTGCGATAAATCTTGATCCTCCTTTGGTATAAGTGAGATAAAAGCAGACCTCCAAGATGGTGGTATCTCGTCTCCTAGTAAAATATCATTAAAAAGACTCTTCAAAGGCTCTAACATTTCCTCCGACAGAGTTCTATAATAAATTGCCGTCAATCCATCAGTACCAGGGGCCTTACCAACCTTCAGTTGCTTAATTGCCTCTAATATTTCCTCCATAGCAATCGGAGAATTCATCATTTCTTTTTGATCATCTGTCAATCTAAAAAAGTTTGCTTGTTGCAGATAATTGTCTATATCAAGAGGTTGTATATTTTCCGAAGAATATAACTTTGAAAAGTATTCCACAAATGCCTTTTTAATCAGATCCTGTTGAAAAACCTTTTTACCCTTATAATTTATTTTTCCAATAAGTCTTTGTTTTTGCTTCTTTCGTATTTGATAGGCTAACCATCTTCCTGGTTTATTTGCATTACAAAATGTATTATGTTTCATATATTGTCAACTAACTGCAGTCTGTTCAGCCAGTAACATATTAAATTGTTCTCTCAATGTTGCAATAGATATCTTTAATTTATTGTCCATTGGATTCAAAATAAAAGCTTTTTCTTTTAGTTTTATTTCTTGTTCCAAATCCCTATATCTTTGTGATTGTTTACGTCTGTGAGCAGTATTCATTGAAATTAAGGCACCTCTCATAAATGCCTTGCTCGCATCCCAGACCATAGACATAGAAGTGCCTTTATTCATATTCAATGAAAAGAAATCTTTTAAATGTTCTTTAAGTTTCTGTACATTACTTTCATATCTTAACAAATTTTCATTCAACCTCCAGGTTCTTTTATTTCCTCCATCATTTAAGATCTCCATCAATACAGGACTATGATCTGATAAAGTCTTAGGAGAGATCTTCACTTTTTTAACCTTTGACACCAAATCATTAGTAATCAGAATAAAATCAATTCTTGAATAAGATTTATGTCTGTCCGAGAAAAATGTAAAGTCACTTTCTCCCATATTCCAGTCTCGCCAGACATCTTTTAACTCAAAGTCCTCCTGTAATGCAAAAAAGCTTTTAGGTAATTTAATTTGAGTTGAAATTTTAGAAGAAGTCTTCTTATCTTTCATTGGATCTATTACACCATTCCAATCTCCCATCATAATGATCGATTTGTAATCCAATTGGGCTAATTTTTGATGTAAAGAACGATAAAATTGTTTCTGTAGATGACATTGATTAGGTGCATATAAACCAACTATAAGACATTTCTTCCCATTCAACAAAAGTTCAACAAATATAAATCTTCCTTCTGTGTCATAATCTATTAACTTTGGCAATAACTCCTTCTTAACATAGAGAACTATGCCAGCTTTTTTCCTTGGTGCAGGAGCGACAAAATGTAATCCCAGTTTATAATTAATCAAATATTTTTGGTCATTTGATGAGATATGCGTTTCTTGTAGACATATAATATCATTTTTATATTGTTTTAAGTAATGGAATGTTTTTTTCCTTTTTTGTGGTGAATTCAGTCCATTAACATTCCAAGTCAAAAACTTAGCCATTTTTTGGTTTTTGAAATTTCTGAAGCATCCCATGTAGGTCTGCCGTGACAGATCTTTTTGGTCTAGCCCCTCCCACAGCTTCTGAGGTAGATGGATATGTTATAGGCACAGTTTCTTTTTGTTGTTCTCTCTCCTTTCGCCTATAGGCTGCGCGTGTCATTCTCTGTTCTTTTGCATCTTTTAACTCCAACACTTGTTGACTCTGAAACTCTACTGCAGGCAACGATGTAGCACTTGGTAAATCTACAATTAGTTGTTGCGCTATTTCTTCTACTCCTTTGGTTAAAGGGATAGGTGATGAGTCAGCTTTCAGAACCGTTTGGTAAAATTCTCTAGCCTTCTGAACTGTATCAAGTTTATAACGGTTCCCAGCATAACTCAGGACCATTCCCACTGGTATTTCCCATCTGAAAGGCAGTTGTCGCTTTTTTAACTCCTGTGCCAGAAAGGCAAATTCCTTTCTTTTTCTTAAGATTTTAGATGGTATTTCTTTCAAAAGTATAATATCTTGTGCAGCTATCTGAAATCTCTGATGATAAAAGGCCTGTATAATATCATTGCGACGTGTCTTTCTAGAAAAATAAACAACAACATCCCTAGGCTGGTTCTTCTGGCATGCAATCCATGAGTTTACTCTATATATTTTTTCAATTTCTCCAAAGATAATTTCAGGATCGCAGTCAAAAACCAGGGCAAGTGCAGCTGATATTTCCTCTTTAAGTTTTTCCTGTAAATCCTCTTTTAACCCTCTGATTCTTATAGCATGTTCCATCTCTCTAAATTGTGACATCACATTATCATTTTGTAATATCTGCACTTCT